GCTTGTCAGAAGGGAGTTATGCACTGCTTGAAGCTAGTCATGCAGTATCCAAGGGCAATGTAGTGTCAAAGGGCAGGTTTTTCTGTTTAATTAAATAAACAGAACTAGTAATTATTATTATTATTATACAGGATTTATGTAGTGCCAACAGTTAGCTCAGCGCTTTACAATATAATGGGAGACAACACAGCAATGCTACAGTTCAATACAAGAGGGTTAGGAGGGTCCTCCTCCATGGAGCTTACAATCTAAGAGGGAGGGGCTAGTGGTACAAAAGGTAATAACTGTGGGGGACGAACTGATGGGAGAAATATAAGATTTGGTTATTAGGCAAAGGCAGGATAGGCTTCCGTGAAGAGATAGGTTTTCAGAGATCGCCTAAAACTGAGCAGAGTAGGCAGTAGTCGGATAGATTGGGGGTAGAGCATTCCAGAGGATGGGGAGGCTCTGGAGAAGGCCTGGAAACAGGCATGGGAGGAGGAGACAAGGGAGCTAGAGAGCAGGAGGTTGTGGGAAGAGCGGAGAGGACAGTTTGGGTGAAATTTGGAGACAAGATTGCTGATGTAATTGGGGACAGAGTTATTAATGGCTTTATATGTTATTATTAATATTTTCAATTTTATTCATTGGGGAATGGGAAATCAGTGAAGGGATTGGCAGAGAGGGATGGCAGACATGGAATGGTTGGTAAGATGGATGAGTCTGGCAGCAGCATTCATGGTAGACTGAAGAGGGGATAGCCTGCGATTAGGTAGGCCAATGAGGAGGGAGTTATAATAGTCAAGGCGAGAGATAGCAAGGGAGTGAATAAGTTGCTTAGTGGTTTCGGTGGTTAAAAATGGGCGTATCTTGGAGATGTTATGGAGGTGAAGTCTACAAGATTTGGACAGTGAATGAATTTGGGGCTGACAGGACAAATGAGAGTCCAGGATTACACCTAGTACCCTAGCATTAGGGGAGGGACTGATGGTTGTATTGTTGATCTTAATGGAGAAGTCAAGTGAGGGGGCATGGGCTGGACGGAATATTATGAGCTCAGTTTTACAAAGACTGAGTTTGAGGAAGTTGAGCAACATCCATGCTAATATGTCACTTAGTAGGTTAGTGATGCGAGAGGAAACTGAAGAGGTAGGGCGAGGGGTGGAAAGATAGATTTGTGTGTCATCACCATAGAGATGGTACTTGAAGCCATGGGAGTTTATCAAGTGACCAAGTGAGGAGGTGTAGATGGAGAAGAGAAGGGGTCCAAGGACAGAACCTTGAGGGACTCTTACAGAAAGAGGAAATGGAAATGGAGAGGAGGAGACAGATTTATAGGTGACACTGAAGGAGCACTACAATAGGTAAGAGGAGAACCAGGAGAGTGCAGAGTCTTGGAGGCCATGAGAGTGGAGTTTTTTGAGGAGGAAGGGATGATCAACAGTATCAAAAGCTGCAGAGATGTCAAGTAGTAAGAGTATGAAGTAGTGGCCATTGGTTTTAGCAGTTAGTAAATCATTAGTGAGTTTTAGTAGGGCAGTTTCAGTGGAGTGTAGTGAGTGAAAATCGGACTGCAGAGGGTCAAGAAGTTTGTTGTCAGTGAGGTAGGAGCTCAGGCAATTGTAGACCAGGAGTTCTAAGAGTTTAGAGGTTAAACAGGAGCAGGGAAATGGGTCTTACGTTGTTTAGGTTGGTGGGGTCCAGTGAGGGCTTTTTAAGTATGGGAGTGATCTGTACATGTTTTATAGGGGAGGGTTAGGTGCCAGCAGAGAGGGAGAGATTGAAGATGTGAGTAAGGTAGCATAGGATAGAAGAAAAGGGTGACTGTAATAGTTGTGAAGGAACAGGATTCAAGGGGCAAGTGGTGAGACGGGGCTTCTGAGAAAACTTTAAAATGTGCTTACATTGTTAGAATTAGGCATTACAGTTTGGCTGAACTATAGACCTGTGGCTAAATGGTGAGCACTGTCCAGCTGGTTACAATATCTCTATAAAGTTTGTGTGTTATGAGCCATGTCTGTGCAACTTTCTTCCAGTTACAATGTTTCCTTAAATAACCCAAAAACCTACTGGTAGAAAAAGAGGTGACTAATCATATTAGCCTTAGAATGTATACAGGTGTGCATAGGATGTGGGATTGTACATTTTTATGTGGGACTGTAAACTACCTTTTTGACGATGAGGCTAATGTCCTCTAATGCACTGTGTAATATGATAGGGCAGTATAAGTGTGGAAAATAACTAAAGATGTACTCCAGCATACCTCCAATGTTGCACTGTAGCACAGGCTCTTCTCATATACTAAAATTACTTATTGTGATTTCACTGCAGCTTCTCACAGTGGGGCAGATTTACTAAAATAGGAACACTCAGAATCTAGTGCAGCGGTGCAGGGTAGCCAATCAGCTAGTAACCTCAACTTGTTCAATTAAAGCGGAGTTCCACCTACCGGTCAAAAAATAAAAGTCAGCAGCTACAAAAACTGTAGCTGCTGACTTTTAAAAAACAGCCACTTACCTGCCCCTCGGTCCCACGGTGTGTCCCCTGCAGCCGTCCTGTATTCCTGGAGGCCGGCATCTTCAGTGTGGAGTGTGGACACTCGGCTGTGACTGCTCGCGGCTGCGCTTCATGAATGGTCCTGTAGTCTTCTGGGACCTGTCATGTGTCCCAAAACACTACAGGGAGGAAAGGAGGACACCTTCCGTTTCCAATCACCTGGGCGATCGGACCGGAAGTGGGAGCGGGTACCTGTCAAATTTTGGTACCTGCCCCCCCAAGGTGCCAATCCTTAATGGGGAGCAGAGGAGCAGTCCTTAAAGTGAAACTTCCCCTTTTGGGTGGAGCTCCGCTTTAAGCTTTGCCAATAAAACCTGGAAGATTATTGGTTTCTATGCAGAAGTGAGCCTGAGTTTGCACTCTCCAGCTTTAGTAAAAGAAAAACCTCCAGTGTACCATAGAAGCTGCAAAAAGTCAGATGTAGAGCCTACTTAATGTCTAGGTTGGAAGATGTCCAGCATCATCTAGTCCCAACATTTTCAACCAGGGAACCCTAGAGTTCCTCCAGAGGTTGCTAGGGGTTCTTTGAGCTATGACTAATAGTCCTCCCATTTGATTGTGCCTACATAGTTCCAGTGCCAATGCCACTTGGCAGAATCAATGGCATAACACCAACGATCTTTTTAGCTGTCTACAAGGGTGGCATTAGTACCACCATAGTAAGTGGTATTTTCCCCGCTGACCCCAAATGATTCCCTGAGATCTAAAAACTATTACAATGGTTCCTCTAAGGTAAAAAGGTTGAGAAAGGCTGATCTACTTTTCCTCTGCAGTGTTGCTGTTCCTGGTCCAACCCTTTTATTCATTGTACTTCAGTTCCTTCAATAATGAAGGCTCAGCATCACGATGTAAATGCAAATGTAGTCTACCTAGAAAGACACATTACCTACAGACTGACCCCTGTCCATGAGGCTGTTGTGATATTTGCATTACCCCTCCCAAGAGCCAGCCCACTGCTTGTATCAGAGCTGAAAAATCCTAAAGGGAGTACTAAAGCAGGGAGCTATATCCTTGCATTGCATTGCAGAGAGAAATGGAGAGTCCCAGTGATGACAACACTAGGCTTCATCTTGGGTATGCATTTAATTTATTAATTTAATTAGCATGGTGCTAAGAGTGGAGGGAGGATCCAGGCAAATTATAAGCAGAATAAACTTCAGCTTCAAGGATGCAGTCATGTGGAAATGTGATGTTGTGTTGTTTGATGCTAGTGCATCTAAATAGACAGCTCCTTAAAAAAAAAACACATTCAACGATTGGGTCTTGTGCAACCATGTAAAGCCTATTAGTGACGAAAGGACTGTAAGTTCCCAAACTGACATCTTAAATACTTTTACCTTTTTCCTGGTAATTTGTTTAGCAGGCTCTGAAGATGAGACAGAACTGGAAATTTCTTTTCCCGCGGGATGTGCAGCGTGAGAAGTATCAGAAACGTAGTATTCCATATCTGTAACATAAAAGCTTTGTCGTTTGGATCTATTCAACCATAATATATGATTTATTCCAAGATGCTTTCTGTTTTTTTTATTTCAATTTCTCAACTTCTTCAACTTTTCAACTTTTTCATGCAAGCTTAACAAAAGATAACAGATTACAAAAGGTGAAGCCATTTATGTCAAAAGCACTCTTATTCGATATTGTCAAGTTCTGTGTCCATTAATTTATTAAGATCTTTGTTTAATATTGTGAGAGAGGACCAAGCACATTTTAAGTCTAGGTTCACACTAGTGCTGCTGCATAATCATTTTTCAGGGCATTTTTGTAGCATGTTTTTGATGCATCTTTAAACTTCACGATACTTCAATGGTACAATGTCTTCCGGCATCTTTACCTAGCTTCTTCCAGGTGCCAGGCTTTGGCAGTTCTCATTGGCCAGAACGGGAGGATGTCACACCTTCAAATGCGCAGACATCCAGGCACACAGTGCAGACATCCTGGCACACAGGCGCTGTGCTGGAATGTAAATTGAACTGTGTTTGGGTAGGAAGAGAATGAATAAACCTCCCAGTAATGCTATTATTAGGCTGCAGCTATAGGGAGCTCTAATAATTTGTAGTGTGACTTCAGGAGACTATACCAACAAGTTTACATTAAACTCAGAATGCAAGTGAGCAACATGTGTTTTCTGTCTCCTCTTTAACTACAGGTTAATCACACTTTGTTAATGCTATATTTGTTCAGTTTTGGTTTGTTTTGACACTAACTTTTTCTGTTTAGTATCCTATATGTTAATAATTTTATTTCTCTAATACAAATTGATGTGCTCTTCCACATGGCCTGTGCTGCCACTATAAAGAAAGCAATTATCTTTATAATGTAACCCATTTATGTTTAACACATTAAACCCAGAATGCAAGTGAGAGACGTGGGTTTTAAGTCTTCTCTTTAAAAAAAAATACTGCAGGCGACATCTTTGTTATACCTTGCACTCAGATCACTGACAATCCTGTAACATTTGCTTTCACCCACCAGGGGCGGACTGACCATTTGGAAACTCTGGCACTGCCCGAGGGCCCCGGGTCAGTAGTGGGCCCCATGAGATGCCCCTGCTACCTTTTTCATAGGCTTCTTTGAGTATGGGCAAGGACACAGGGGCCCCATGATCCCCTATTGCCCGGGGGCCCCATGAGTTGTCAGTCCGCCCCTGTCACCCATTGTCATACCCTGTCAATCAAAAGTAATCAGACCTGATGGACGACTAGTCTCTAAGTTCCCCATCAGGATCTGCCCACCTCTAGTTCACAACTCCTCAGACATGCGTCTGTCAGAGGCCATGGATGGAAGGAGCGCACTGAGAAAGAAGTGGACACTCCTCTCTTAGTGTAGACACCAACAGATTCATGTACCTATCAATGATAGGTACATGATTCTGTGCTGCTCCCTGGGCTCCCTTGTACTGCTCCCTGACGGAATTCTAAAGGGTGTCCAGGACACCCTTTGTGAATTCCTCAGATTATGTCAGAAAACAGCCTTTGTGCTCCTTTACTGTACACTGGAGCATATTTAACCCCTTCCCTGCCGCCCTATAGCAGAAATACTGCTACAGGGTGGCAGGGATGCACAAAATCACGTATATATATATACGTCATTTTGTGTTTATGGGTAGGGGGCGCATGCCCTACCCACGCCGCCATTCGCAGCCGGAGCTGTTAATCACCGGTTCCCAGTCAGTGATTACCTGCCAGTGCCCGGTGATTACCGAGCATCACCTACGGGGAGGAGGACTGCTTTGTTTACTAACAGTCCTCCTCCCTGTCGGCTCGGGCACACTGCTCTGGATGGCTATGCACAGTACAGCCATCCAGAGCAGTGTGCTTACAGTGAAGCACACACACACACTGCCCCCTATGCAAAACATTCCCTGTACACAATTAACCCTTTGATTGCCCCTCATGTTAACCCCTTCCTGCCCAGTGCCATTAGTACAGTGTCAGTGCTCTTTTTTAGCACTGATCACTGTATTGGTGTCACTGGGGATGACAGTGACACCAAGTCAGTTCCCCCAGTGTCAGAATGCCCGCCGCAGTCCCGCTATAAGTCGCTGATTGCCGTCATTACTAGTAGAAAATATAAAAAAATTCTAGTATCTATACCGCCATTTGTAAGCGCTATAACTATCACGTAAAGCAATTAATTTACATGTATTGGGATTTTTTTTTATAGCAAAGACATATAGCAGAATACATTTTTGCATAAATTTATGATGAAATTTGAGTTTTTAAATTTTTTTACTGGACATGTTTAATGGTAAAAAGTAAAAAATATTGGGTTTTTTTTCAAAATTGTCAGTCTTTTTTTTTTAATAGCGCAAAAATAAAAAACGCACAGACAATCAAATACTACTGAAAGAAAGCTCAATTCGTGGGAATAAAAGGACATGAATTTCATTTGGGTGCAGCGTTGCCGGACCACGCAATTGTCAGTTAAAGTAATGTAGCGCTGTAAGGCAAAAAATTGCCTGGTCAGGAAGGGAGTTGAATCCTCAATAGGGCAAGTAGTTAAATACAAAACTTTTTTTTAGGATAGTGGAGAATGCTCTTGCCGTAAACAGCTGTCAGTAAGCCAATCAGAGGCTGGGGTGGATGCAAAATATACAGTCCAAAAATGAAATTGTGCCCTGCTTTGGGATATTGGTGCAGCAGCAGAATTTAATTTAATTTATGCCCTTGCATAAAATTTTAGCTGCGTGTATATAGTATATAATTATGTGCTGAGAAGGTGCTCTTGGTATCAGCCATATATCAGGGAATTAATAGTAAGCACTCTGGAAAATATATTCCAATAGATTTTATCTATAAAAATCATTTAGCCAGGCGATGCCTGCAGAACGTGCATGCAATCATTTCTGGATCCCAACTTAGTTGTGTAAAGACTATTGCTATATAGATTATCCAAGAAGAGTGACACTAATGCATAGTATTCAATTAAATGATGCTGCTGCAAAGTACATTAGGAGATCTACCCCTGGGGTCTCCTAGGATCATAATGACCTGGCAGTTGACCAAATCTTGCCCAGCTAAAACTGTTCCTTTTGACAGAATATTTCTTTACTCTGGTTTATCTTTTACTATGTTATTATCCATTACATTATACTTACTGATAGCTCCATGTGCAATAATGTAGGAATCATCTGTTCTTTCTGGTAAAGGGGGTGGAGAAGCTGATCTATCCCGTGTTTTTTCCTAAGACATAAACATTTTTTAGTAATAGGTGCATGTCACAGCAAAGTATTTAAGATAAACACATGGGCTTAATATGCACCAGTCCTTAATTTAAACCTTCTTTAAACATGTTTAGCAGACACCTACCATATATTCATTTGAACATACCTTTAGAAATTTCCCAGAGTACCTAAGGAGCTTCAAACATTATGTAAATATGAATTTTTTTGCCACTGACCTGCTTTACTTTTAACTACCACAACCTATGGTGACATGGAAATTCCCAGTTGTAGTTTTCTTTTTTCCCACTAGGTATCAATATAGTTAGCAGTGAGATGGTCTCTGGGATCCTATATGGTTTAGGTAGGAAACTCCCTGGGGTTTCGGTAGCCAGACACAGAAGGAGGAATAGAAATTTCTGCGGTGACCAGGATAGGAATCATGTAGGCAGGAGGCCTAATTAAGAAGCTTACCCCTTGGGGAGAAGGCAGGAGCAGCCAGGTGGGCTGCTATGTGTTAAAGACTAATACTGATGGGACTACTCTCATCCCCTAGGGAAATTACAGTATTCTAGGACCAGTCTCTCCCCTCAAGCATACTGCTTTGCCTTTTATGGCGTTTGTAACTCAAGTTTGTGCTGTCTCCACTTGGAAGGCTGAAAGAACTGCTTCTAAATATTTTCACGTTTTATTTAGTAAAGCATGTACTGTGCAGACATCCTCTTATTAGGACCACAGATAGTACATCTCAAGAACCGATGGATTGTGGGCTTCAATGAGGTCTTATGCTCGAGACCTTTACAGCCGCCAGGGTGCTGGTTAGGCCAGACTGGGTGCCATGCCAGGTGTCCTGGCAAAATCAGGAGTAGTTAACGAGTGTATATGCTCCCAACCTCTCAGCTACAGGACACGAGGGAGGTATGCAGCCAAGCACGTGATCATGTTACTTAACCACTTCCAGACCGAACACTTTTACCCCCTTCCTGACCAGGGCAATTTTCAGCTTTCAGCGCTATCACACTTTGAATGACAATTGCGCGGTCATGCAACACTGAATATGAATTTTTTACCATTTTTTTGAGACAGATAAAGCTTTATTTTGGTGGTGTTTATTCACCGCTGGGATTTTAATTTTTTTTGCTATGTAAATGAAAAAGTCCACAAATTTTGAAAAAAAAAGTGTTTTTTTTTTATAAAATTTTGCAAATAAATAATATTTCATTATAAATCTTTGCCAAAATTTATTCCGTTATCTATTAGTAAAAAAAAAAAATCCAAATTAGTTTATAACCAAAAATTATAATTTTTAAACTTTTTTTTACATTTTAATTTTATTTTTTTATATTATTATTTTTTATTTTTTTTTTTTTACATACTGTCACCCTAGCAGTACAGTGTCACCATGGTGACACTGTACTACTTGTGGGGGGTGATGAAGATTTTTTTTCTTTTTTTTTTACACATTGCTTTTACACCCATATAGGATGTAAAAGCAATCATTTCTCTTTCTCTCTGTGTGCATTCTTGCACTCATTGAGAAGTACTGAGTGAGCTGTGATTGGTCACATGGTCACATGTCACATTGGTACACTGTTGTGAATAGGCTTGTACCATGTGACCTCTCTGATCATTCACAGATTTCACACGTAGTAAGCAATGATGTCACAAGTGACATCTTGCTTACTACTTTGCATGTGATCACTGATTGGCCAATCAGTGATCACATGATCGGGACCTCGTACAGAGGTCCCGTCCGACGATCGGTGTTTCACTGTGTCCGGAGGACACAGCGGGCACCGGATTGCGGTGCTGCGCGCTCCCATGGAGCGCGCACAAGCAGGGGGCGGGAGGCCGTTTATAGACGGCCACCCGACCCTGCACTTGCCACCGTCCGGCCGTTTATATGCAACGGCCGGTCGGGGAGTGGTTAACACTATGATTGGTTGCATCGGTGACCAACAAAAGATAACAGAAGGTAGAAGAGGATAGGCCTGTCCTTGACTTCCTAAGCCAAAGTTGATATTTCTCTCACTTTGATCTGGAAGGGTATTAAATGCTATATAGACCTGCAGCCATTTATATAAATACAGGTTTACTTTAAGGCAAACAGTATTGTGTATAGTGCATTAAGACTATGCTTGAAAGTTCTTGCTGCTGTAAACCCATTAAAAGTGAAATCTTACGATGGTTAATATATTTTGCAAATCATCACTTCTATTTGTATCTCTTTATTAAGCAAGCTTATACCTTATTAAATCATACACACTGTACTTCGCTACTTAAAGTGCTACTAAACCCAGTTCCCTGCATTCACTATATCTGGTCTCCTACAGTACACACAACATGGAAATGCCACTATTTTAGTAAATATAAATTGCTAAAATACCTTTTCTCATCAGCAATTAGTGCAGTCTTGTGACTTCTATCAGTGTCCAACAGAGCACTGGTTACAGCTTGTAGGAGGAGTTTTCATTCTCCTGTAGCAGAATGCAGGACCTCTGACCTCTGTCTGAGAGTGCTGATTGGCCCTGTGCTGATCACATGCACTCTCCCAAGAAAAAAATAATCTCTAGCAATACGCACCAAACTGATTAAGTGCAGCTTGCCCCTAGCCTCTGTTCTATCTGCTGATATTTGGGAGACACTGGAAGAAGGGGAGGATCAGAGAAGAGAGGATCAAACATCATTTTACACAATGTGAAGGATAGACTCCTTAGGTCCCACAGTGAGTATAACAAGCATGCTTTACTGCATATACAGATTGATTTTAATGTTGTGGGTTTAGTAACACTTTAACTTTGGCTATAATTTCACATTCAATAAATTTTTAATAAAGTACTTCAAAATAAAGATCATAACATATAGGAACAGATAGGT